GGGACATGGTGGAGGCGAACGAGTACTACCTGCCCATGGTTGGGGACCATGGGAGGCGCCGGCTCTGGCCGTCAGGATGGACGAGCGGGTATTGGCGAGGAGACGGGGGCGGGAGGAGGAGGAGGCGGAGGAGGAGGAGGAGGACGAGGAGGCGGAGGAGGAGGAAGAAGAAGAAGAAAAGGACGATATGGCGGAGCAGGAGGGGGAGAGCTGGTCCAGCATGTTTGCATTGGGAGAAGTTCGAATGGACACTGCCTCGACGACATACTCTAATTTCGGATGTTCATGCTTGGAAGGTCGCTGATGGCTGGATCGAGCACGTGCAGTCAGTCGGAGCGTTATTGAGGAAGTATTGTCAGCAGTGTCGGCAGCTACCTTGGTACGCGGACGTTCGCGATATCAACGTGGTAAGTTGGCAAAGTTGGTGAACGACGTTGCGATTTGTCTTGAGGAAGCCCTGCGCCGCAAACACTTCACAAACAATATGATGCGAATACGGTGTGTTTAGTTCAAGATGGGTTGCTGAAATGTCTGACAGGACTTCTAAGCCATGACGTAACCCATCATCAAGAAAGCAACACGTAAACCTAAATGAGGGAGGCAGTGGGCGGGCAAGAGCTGTCTGACCAGCCTCGGGGCCGCTCACAAGTTTACGTAAATCCGTACCGGAGAAGAACTTGCCAAGACGACTCACCAGGCCCAGCCGTACAATATATGGTGGACCGTTTATTTGCCAAGTAGCGGGCAGTATGGGAGCACCATGGGTATGCTAAAGGCGGATGTGCTGGATGATATGTAATAGTGGGAGGTACTGCCGGCTAGGATGGTTGACGTCCTCGGGCAAATGATCTTCAAGCTTTCCACTTGCGTTGCCACTGGTCAAGGCGGTTTTGCACCACCAGTTTGTTGGCATTGTGGTGGCGAAGGCCTGGAGGTGCTCAGCGCGATGTGCAGCACGCGCGAGAAGCTGAGCTTTTGGCCCAAACAACATATCCATCAGAGTTCGCGCGCCAGCCGAAACCCAATGGAGGGAGTCGGCCCGTTGGTTAGTTCTATTATCTGGACTTGGACAAGGGCGCGGAATTCAATTTCGAGGCAGCGGTTGCGAGATAACGACTTGCGTTTTTGTCACTTGGGAGGCAGGTGGCGTTGGCAGGTCTTCCAGTACGCCAGCGTTCCGTCATAACCTGCGGAGGGTGGTGCTGACTGGACAACACTCGACCACTACACGCGTGGAAGCCATTCGAGAGTGTCTTGCCAGCGGTTCTGCGGGAGCACAGTCACATGATGAATTGTCCTGGAGGATCGATGGTGCTTCCAAAACACAATGCCGCGGCTGATCTTGCATATTCGCTCTCGGCCTTGTCCAGAAGTTCTGGCATGGAGCAGTCATGGCATTGTTTCTGCGAGGTGCTCGCGGCCGGGGCCTTGCAGTTTTGGGCATTGTTGCACTGCTCCGCGGGGCTCGCCAGCGCCATCGATCGGCAAGGATGCCCGCAGAGCCGAGTTGCTTTGGAAGGCGCTCGAAGGTTTCAGTCGCGATGGGCGCGAGCTGGGCTTGTGGGTCCGAGCCAGTGATCGGGGGAGCGTAAGACCCGGGTTTGCCAGGACTCGGGTTCGCCATTTTTTTTTGACGACCGCGACTCGGATTTTGACGAGTAGGAGTTTCGTGGGATGTCTGCGGCGGGAGGCCTCGTCAAAATGCAGGCTCGGCCTCGTCATTTTTTTGACGACCTCGTCGGGGATTTCCGAGTCCCCCGTACCCGGGTCTTACGTCTCCCCGAAGTGAGTCAGACGTCGTGGCCGCGTCGGCCGGCGGCGCCAAGTCCCACGCCGATGCGGCGCCGTTTTGCGATTCGCCCGAGCACCGTCGGGCGCGCAAGCTCGGCCACGGGCCGCGTTCACCACCCACCAAGCCACCCCGACCCAGCCCGAAGGCCCACATTTATCCTCGATGTCCAGGGGGGGGGGGGGGTCGGGGAACATCGAAAAAAAACACGTGGGATCCGCACCCCCCCCCCCCCCAACCCGAAATTCGGGTCGAATTCGGGCCTTCGGGTTGGGTTGGGGTGGTCTGGTAGGCAGTCCCAGACCCCCGACGTCGTGATTTTTTCACAACGTCGACCCCCAGAGGTCTGGACCCCTTCCCCGGGACCGGTTCTCCGTCCCGAGTCGTTGTTTGACGCTCCCGAGGCCCGGGAGTCGCAGGAGTGAAGCTAGCCACGAGTACCATGGATTTGGCCATCTTCCCAGTATATTATGCCCCTGTGCACACCAAACGGTACGATGAGATAGGAGCACGTATAGGGGACTGGTTGGAGACCACCACTGACAGATTGGGTACAAGGACGTTCATTGTGATTGCAGGCGATGTGAACAGCGACTTTGGACTACACCGATCAACAGACGGAATTGTACAAAAAACTATCAACAGCTGTTTAGGGACCTACGCAAAGACTATTGAAAACGAGAACGGTACCGCGTTCAGGAAGATGTGCCAGAGCAGCGATCTCAGCATTATTACCACCAACTACGACACTGGGCCCACCTATTTCGGTCCAAGAGGGGGGGCCAGTAAAGTGGACCACATTGCCCTCCCAGCAGGTGCCTCCACCCTTGTCCAACGGTGTATGGTGCTACACGCATCGGGGAAGCGCCTCCAACTTATAAAGTCCAGAGGAGCTAGAGACCACCTCCCAGTAGGAGTAGTACTCGACCCGAGGATCCGACACCAGGCGGGCAGGAGGCGGCACCAGCGCGAGTACCTGGACAGGGACGCGCTGATGAGCTGCCTACGGAAGGGAACAAGGAGGGAAGCATGGCAGGAGAAGGTGGAGGAGGAGCTGAGGAAGGTAGAGGAGCAGGAATGGCAGGACCTCCTCGAGCAACCCACTCCAGACCGAGCGTGGCAGAGATACGGAGATGCGGTACGCACAGCACTACACGACACATTCGGGAAAAAGAAGATGGCCCCTGACCCGTGCGTGGAAGCACTCAGGGAGACCAGGATGACACTGCTGCGCCAACGCCGAGAGCTACGCCACGCTCTGGGACCGAATATCGACGATGAGGAGCTTGAGAACACCCGACAAAGCCTCAAAGAAGTCACGGCCACGCTGAAGAGGATCCGAGACGGCTACGAGAAATCCCGCAAGGAACGACTCGTCGAGGAAATCTGGGAGGCGTCAGAACGTGGCGACTTTGCGCAGATGCACAGGCTGAGGATCGAGTACCAGGCGAACGGACGAGGCCCCAAGAAAAGGTACTTCTTCGCCCCTCGGACGCACTGGGACGCTGAACAGTGGACCCAGGAACTCTCGAAGTCACCACACGAGGGGGGGCTGGCAGCACAGGTACTGGATCTGGAGGAGCAACTCCGCGAGCACGAGCACTGGCACTCCGAGCGACTCCCACTCCCGATCGATACCGACCTCCGACATCGAGCAGAGCAGGACGGGAGAGACATGCTGAGGTATTGCAGGAAAGCCAAGAAGCGTCGAGCATGGCCAGAGTGGGGGCTCCCTGTTGAGGCGACTCTACTTCTGCTTGATCCCACGGTCAACATGAAAGGCGCCAACGAGCGCGGTGATAGTTACAACGCGCAGGCGATCAAGGTTGAAAGAGACGAAGAAGAACGCCACAGGTTCACGATCGAGCACCGACTCCAGCGAGGCAGAGAGCTGTTAGAGAGGCTAGGCTGGAAAGGAGGAGGGCTAGGAGTACGAGGAGGAGTGCCTACCGACCCTGCTACGCTTACAAACGACTACACAGTAGGACGTGCGCCGAGAGCTGGACTGGGTGTTGCGAAGAATGACGGGCAGGGAGCACATGTAGCAAGCAGGAGGCTAAACGACATCTTGGTGATGATACGTGCTACCCAAACCACCCCCCTCTCTTGGCACAGGTCGATGGCATTCGGAGCAGACAAGGCGAACGGTAAGCACGGTATTTTGGGAAAGCGCATTATGCACGCGTACTGCAGCACGAGCATGGCATGGCATGCAGGCATTCATCGCAGGGGTCAGTTGGAGCAGCACGCGGCATGGGCGCAGGGGGGGCTACCACACCGGTGCAGAGAAAATGCGATAGCGACAATACTCACCACAAAGTGGAAGTCCGACCAGCTCGGATATAGCAGCGTGCACACCAACTACGACTGCTCGAACGCATTTGCGTCCACCAACCGCACCCTCCTCCAAGCTGTGGCCTCTAAACAGGCTGATGAATGGGACCAACCACATGCAGTAGGAGCAATCGAGAAAACTGCCATGACCATAGAGGCTGCGGATCAGACTATTAGTTACGAAAGCACCACAGGCGCCCAGATGGGCTTCACGACAGCACCACGACAGTTCAACGATGCTTACAACATATACGTTGCCCAGTGGAACGAAGACCTGCGCACGGAACCGACACAACGACTGCACGACACACCCCACCCGATATTTGGTAGTATACAGGACCTCGGAATTAACACGTTCATGGACGACATCACTAAGACGCATATAATCCCACACCAGGCTAATGCAGGTGAAGTCACCTACCAGGTCAACACAGCCACAGAGAAACTAGAAAGCAAGCTGGAGGCTGGGAACTGGAAACTTAATGCGGGGAAGACCAACCACCTACTGGGACTACGAGGCACAGGGAGCTACGGTACCACAAGAGCCCTAAGACGTAGCAAGCAAATCCAAGGCACACCACTCCGAGACATGCGAGTGCTAGGACCATACCTCCCATCCGACCAAGGCTTATCAGGAGAAGTGCGTCGCCGCTGCGACGCGATACGCCTAGCATGGAGACAGGGTGGCACTTTTTGGGGTTCACGGTGCAATTACGACGTCAAACGCCTCATGTTTATCGCATTTGTATTGGGTGCAGGGCTAAGCGGACTCACGGCCATGGTACTTCCAACAGCCAGCACTGATGCCATCGACGCCCTGCTAGGAAAATACATGAGGACACTGGCACGAGGAGCGATGTCATGGACCAAAGCAGATGGCAGCATTCGCTGCAAAACCACGGCGCAGGTATTCAAATACTGGAGAATGGACC